TGGCTGCTCTCGCTGCTCCGTGCCATCCTGCTCAGCCTCTGCAGCCCGCCAACAGCCCCTGAGCCGGTGACACCCCAAGGTAGGTCCCTGGGGACATTTGCTCCCCCAGAGGATGGGCCAGAGAGGAGATGGCCCAGCAGGCATGGGCAGCGTGCCCCCCCAGCAGCCAAAATCTGCCAGGCTGGGGAGGGAACATCCCAGGAGACTGTGGGGGGGATGTTCAGGGCAGGCAGTGGAGCATCCTTCTCACCCTTGGGACACCCTGGGGTGCCTGGAGCAAAGGGATGTCCCTGCTTTCTGCAGGCAGGACCTGGCAGCCTCTAGGTGTCCCTTCAGGATGGCAGCCTGGGGCTTGCAGTCCTGCACAGGTAGCAGAGGGGCTCCCCGCTCACCAGAAGTTCTTGGAATTACAGTGACAAGGGTCTGAGCAAAATTCAAGCTGAGGCCTGACAGCACGGCTCTGCACCGCCGGCAGTGCGGGGGCACCGCCAGGCCCCTCCCAGTGCTCCCGCACCAGCCCTGCCCTGCCCTGACTGCCCCCACAAGCGGCCCTGGCTCAGCCGGTAGCTATCCCCAGCCCGGCTCTCCGCACCGGGCAGAGCCCCTTCCTGTCTTTCTCCCACCTCAGGCCTGGCCATGCTTTTTTTGAGCCCCTTCTTAGCCCTTCTAATGCTTCCTATAACACCATCAAAAGCATTAATTGAACAAAATCCTGTTGATCTCGTAATGGTCTCTCCAGCCCCATGCCAGGTCTCTGTCCCCAGCAGGCTTGGGAGCACATTTTGAGTCACCCCTGCAGGGGCAGTGGGAGGAAGGCGGGGGTTGGGCTCATCCTCCCCCTGCCCACAGCCTCTGTGACAGCACCGTGCACCGAGCCCACCACTGGCCTGATAGTGTGCTGCCCAAGCATGGCTGGTGTGGGCTGCAGAGCTGCATGGCTGCTCTTCCTAGGAAACAGCTTGCACCCAGCAAAGATGCTCTTGTAGCCCGCAGGACCTGTGTGGCCTCCCATCAATGCCAAGAGTCCCTCTGTGCATGGGTTGCTGGGACTTGGACACCCCATCCCCTGGGGTTGGGAGCTGGGGGGATCACGAAGCCAGCATGAAGCTTGGGGTAGGAGCAATGGGGTTCAAAACGGGAAGAGCATGGCAGAGGGAGGGGACCGTGGTCTATGGGGAGGGGATGTGGGCTGGAGGAGGAAGGCAAGAGAGGACTGAGAAAGGAGGAACAGGGCTGGGGTGTCAGGGCAGGGAAAGGGACAAGGAGAACAGAAGGACACCAAGAAGATGGAAAGGACATTTGGGAACTATCCCTTATTCTTCACCCAAAGTGGGCTCAACTGGCAGCACAGGGGGTGCAGAGCAGAGAAGAGATGCACTCAGCACATGGAGCAGGGCCAGGCACTGGCAAGGGGTTTGTGGGGTCCTGCAGCTGAGGGCAGCCCCTGGGGAAGGAGGCACATCCCAAGAGGAAGAGGACTGGGACAGGTCCCAGGGCAGAAGCAGTAGAGGAGAAGGGAGTGCTGGAGCAATGCTGAGGGCAGCAAGGCCACCCCTTTGCTTCACAAATTTGCATCTTGGGGCTTTCCCCTCTTCCTGAAAGCAGGGGCAGGCACACATATGCCAGTGCTTGGGATGGAGATCTGGCAGAGTGTGATGCTCCAGTTCATCCCTGCAAAAGAAAGAGAGCAGCTTGCCAAGGGGGGTAGGGAAACCCTCAAGCAGTCCCCGGGCTGGGGTTTCAGCATCCCCCCTGCTCAGGACTACATGCCCCCACGCCAGCCCCAAGGCCCTTTCCCTCTCTCCGGGGCACTGCTCCTCCTTATCTCGCTTCCGCGCACCTTCCGGCGTGAGCAGGGCAGGGGTGCTTCCCGCCGATCGCCCGGCCCCGAGCCCCCCTCCAACCGCAGGACTATTTTGGGATGTTTGTTTGTCCCGAAGGACTCCAAGCGCTAAGGAGGGGGGAGCGGTGGGGCCCGCCGGCGAGGAGCCCCGCCACCAACCGGGACCCCGGCGGAGGCAGCACAGGTGCCATGTCCCTCCCTGCTGTGCCAGGCTGGTGGAGGGCACCTGTGCCATGGCCGTGCCCATGCTGCCACCCAAAAGGCATGAGGGAGGGGACACAGGTGGGAAAGGGACACAGTCGTCCCCAGGGCCTCCTGCACACCCATACTTCTCCCAGATGCTGCACTACTGGCAGAGGTGCCTGAAGACATCCTCTGCTTCTCTCGCTCCTTTGAGGACCTCACCTGCTTCTGGGATGAGGAGAAGGCTGCGAGTGGGATGTGCCACCTCTACTACTGGTACAACAGGTAGGAGGTGGTGGGGACACAGCCCTTGCCCACACAGAGAGGAGCAGAGTCGGGGTGCCACAGCTCTCTGTGCCATCCTGGTGGCTCCCAGGTTCAAGGAGAGATGGTGGAGAGCCCACAGGAGCTACACAGCAGCCACTGCACACTCTGTGGCAGGGCTGGAAAATTGGCTATCCATCAGTCCCATGGGGATAGTGCCCTGCAGTGGATGGGGACACAGGGAAGGAGCTGGTGACACTGCCCCAGGTCCCCTCTCCTCCAGCTTGGTCCAGAGCAGAAGGCTTAGGGTGTGCAAGACTGTGCTTTCTGTTCCTCAGGGATATGCCCACAGCATGTCCTGTCTCCACATGGAGCCATGGGGCTGGCAGAATGCGGCACGTCTGCGTCTTCCCCAGCCAGGACGTGAGGCTCTTCATCCAGCTCCACCTTCGTGTCCTGGATGCCAGCACCAACCAGACCAAGTACTGGCGGGAGCTCAGCGTGGACGCAGTGGGTGAGTCCTTCCCAACAGGCACTACCCCTGCGACACCAAGACAGTTCCCAGACCTGGGTCTCCTGCCCTTCTGCCCGCCAGAGGGGCTGGTGGCACCATGCAGAGAGGCAGTATGGGGGGAACCGCTGGGTATCCCCCAGCAGGACCAGGGGGTGCTGAGGTGGGGGCTGCCACAGGAGGGGAAACACCCTGTCCCATTCCCCCCAGGTCTCATTGCCGCCCCTGTGAACATCACAGCCCGCTGGGCTGGGGCTGTCGGGCAGCTCTCTGTGTCATG